TCCTTGGAGATGGTCCTGAGGAGATTACTTCAAGTAATGGCTTCAAGTACATGGGGAAACAGAGAAAGCTAAAATTGTTCTCCTTAGAGTAGAGGTACAGATCTAAAACAACCACTGACAAAATTAGAGGAGACATAGCAAAAAAAAAAAATGCAGTGAATTGCTGTGATGTAGATTGTTTTGCCTGAAAGGGTGGTGGAAACAAATTCAACAATAACATAAGAAAGGAAATTGGATAAATGCATATAAGGGAACATTTGGACAACTGTTGGGAAACAGGAGAAGAGAACTGCATGGATAGTTCTTTCATTACAGACTGGATGGCCTCCTACTGCACTGTGTCCTTCCATGACTATGAGTACTGTTTTGGAAGAGATTATTGAATGGCCATAGCCAGCAATGGGGGAGGGGAGATAAATGCCGTAATGTGAAACATTTGCATTATCTACTTAAAAAGAGCAGTGAGAATGTGGGTCTCATGAATACGGGGTAAGTCACCACCATCAGCTTAAAGCTGAGGGTGCATGTGACACAGTGGTAGTGTCCTCTGAGCTAGGGATCATGAGTTCAAGTCCCACCTGCTTCAGAGGTGTGTAATAAAATCCTCCAACAGGTTGATTAGAAAATATTCACAACTTAAAGCTGTTTAAACGGTGAAGCCATTTGGCAAGAACTGAAACACAAGAGTAGGAGTTTATTATAGGGGTGGGAGGTGGATATTGGGAGGATATTAGGTTCTGTCCTGGCTTGCTTCCACCTCACTGTCTACATCTGTGATTCATGTATAGACCAATGGCATCCACATTGCATGTCCTAATATAGGAAACAAAATAAATAGGTTGAAGAGTGACAAAAGTAGCTGCAAAGAGATGGTAGTAAAATATTGAAAGAAGAAAATGTACCAGATGAATTACAATGTCTTCATATGTGAGGTGATATCTTTTAGTTATAAAAAAACTTTGAATGTCAAAGCATTTGGAGTTTAAGCTTTGCAAGACCTTAATCAGGGCACTTCAAGTGGATAAGAAGGGAAATAAGTTTAAATCCTTGCATTAATCTTTGCCAAATATTCTACATTTTTTTCCTAAGACAGTGATTATTGTTACTCTGTGTTCTGAAGCTTCACAGAAAGGCTCTCCTAATCTGTACTTGAAAAGCTCACATGTGGCACTGGGGAACATGGATTTTTCCTGAAGGGAGTTTCTCTTCCTTTCTATATTATTCTGTGTTGACAAGGCAGCGGTCTGGACAGAACGGAGTCTTTACAAGGTCTTCTTAAGATAGCTGCCTGCAATGAAGGTACCTTATGGCAGATGTCACATGGCTATGGCAGAACAGCGATGACATTTGTCCATTATTGCATTTCAAACCAAGCATCCCCCTTCTATACAGAGAAAAGTTACATTATCTTGTAGATATTTATTTAGAGTTCTCCAATTTAACCAATACATACATGCCTATTTCCATGCATTAGCAGTTTGTTATTCTCATCAGTCCCTGTATATGCATTGCATACTGTACATAGGCAGTAAATCATGCTGGTTATTTAATGATGCATGTGTGTGTTGTCATTGCCTGTTCGCCTAGGGTGATGTTCCTTCCCCTGGGAGGGTTGATCCCATGTCATTTGTTGTTGCTGTGGTGCCTGCTATTGTTCCATTTCCATTGCTGTGTTCCTACACTCTTCTGGGTCTGACGGTCTGGGTCTGACGGTCTGGGTCTGACGGTCTTGGTCTGATGGTCTGGGTCTGACATTCTCCGTCTGACGGTCTGGGTCTGACGGTCTGGGTCTGACGGTCTCGGTCTGACGGTCTGGGTCTGACCGTCTGGGTCTGACCGTCTGGGTCTGACAGTCTCGGTCTGATGGTCTGGGTCTGACGGTCTGGGACTGACGGTCTCGGTCTGACAGTCTGGGTCTGACGGTCTGGGCCTGACGGTCTGGGTCTGACAGTCTGGGTCTGATAGTCTGGGTCTGACGGTCTCAGTCTGATGGTCTGGGTCTGACGGTCTCGGTCTGACGGTCTCGGTCTGACAGTCTG